CAGCCAGGCAGCGCAGCCCCACAGTTCGACGTTCTGCGCTGTTCCATGTAGGCAGAACCTTAATGGGCAACAGACGGAGGCAAGAAACTCTGTAAATTAGCTGTATTACTGCAGGCTCAATTAAGACCATCTTTTCAATTAACTAATTGTCTTCAAGCTTTAGAAAACAGGCAGTCATAACTTCACAGTGTGAGAAGCAACTATTACAAATACTGAAGTATTGCTCTGGGAAGCTGGAGCAGTGAGCACTTTGCTGTGGGAATCTAAGGAACTGCCTGTTCTTTCCTTCCCTGGAGTTGCACATGGGTCGCTTCTGCTCTCAGCCTGGCTCTGTCAGAGAAGTTTCCTTCAGAGGAGACCAGCACGGTGCTGCCTTCCCTCGCCGACGCCGATTCCTCGCCCTCCTGCCAGCCGTGCTGCCTGCCGTGCCCACTAAGCTCTGCGGTAGCAGGAGAAACGTTTCCAGAAACAGCCAGAAAGCAGCATCCACCCACTGCCACCGACCGGTGCTGGAGACCCCCAGCCGCCCTCCACGGAAGGGTCCCCTCGGCTGCCGGCAGACCTCACCGACGGGCGCTGCTGGAGAGAGATCTCAGCTGGGCCACAAGCGCTGCAAGAGGCGAGGAACCAGCTCCCGCCTCCCTGTAACGCAGAGAGTAACGAGGCCTTTAAGATTCACCGAGGAAGGAAGGGACTTGTGCAAGACTTCAGTATTTTCCATCGCATTCTCCTCTGTTTTTACTTTCCTGTAACTGCATAGAATTTTCTCCTTGTGGCAGCATTTTAAGATGCTGGGTTGGGTCCCTCTGGTTCAGAGGTGACCCCTCTCGCAGTGTAAGCTAAACAACAGTCCTCCTCGCCCACCGACACAGCATCGGAGCGAACAACCACGCCGGAGACGTGGCCCCTGTCATGCCCGAGGCTCAAAACCACCAAACCAACCCCAGGCGTGCGTGTCTGCCGAGACTCCTCCCGCCTGGGGCATCAATCTTCAAACACGAATAACAGCGACTGATTAGCCTAAATTATTAAAGAAGTACATTAATGATTAAATGATTTTCTGGCAGTGAACAAAGCAAATAACTTCCTAATGCTCACCACTTCTTTAATTAGTAGCTACCAAAAGGCAATGAGAGGACAGCCTGCTGTGAATATGTGCTCACTCCGGGTTTGATCAGACCGGGTTGGCCGCCACGAGCCACGCCGCGGGATGGGGCTGCGCTTCCCCTGCGGAGCACACGCCGCGCAGGCAGCCCCCGCGGCGAT